AGTCTGCTGGTGGGCATCTCTTAGGAAGAAGAGCTGGGTGTATTCATGCAAGCTTGCATCTACCTTTGACTGGAAGGTCTAGAACAGGCAGAAGGGCAGCAACTTGCCCTGGGACAGGCCCCGAGCCCCGGCTTAGGGAGAATAAGGGATTCGCTCAGAGCCCCACTGCTGCAAAGAAGCTCGTACTAGATGCTTGTACTAGATGTGGCTGCCACAATCCACACCCTCTCTCTTCTTTAGACTTCCGTTCCCTTCTTCTCATCAGTCACAGGAGCTGAGACATGCATGGAGCTCTTGAGGTCGATAATTTAGCAGCAATTTAACAGTTTATTATTCAAAGTGGACACAGTTTAGGGAGACCAGAATGATGCACACTCACACGCCCATCATGAGATGCATGGCCACCACCCAGCGCTCTGCTTATCCATTCGTCATTAATCCATTCTGATTATTTTCAGTTCAAATTTAGAATTATAGGGATTTCGGTTAACTTAACAATTTCTTTATATTTATATGCTTTTCCTTTAACAAAGAAAATCTTGGTTCTTAGCAATACCTCATAATTGCTCATGGAACGTATCTGAAAATAAATGCAACAATTTCAGAAAATAGGTATCATTACTAACAGTATGATGACAAGAACAATTGGAGATTTTTTTTTTTTTTTGGTAATTCATTTTGTCCTTAGAACATATACCATTAAGGATATACATTATAATTACCTGAAGTAATTCCTCTATGCCTCATTAATCCACAAACTTGATATGTTAAGTTCCTTTGCTTCATTTCCCTTTTGATTTTTAGAAGTCGCTTTTTCATTTTTTTAATTTAATTCTATAATTACGTAAAACATCAACTTAGTTCCCAAGTCAACCATATACTATGAAAAAAGATGTAGTCAAGGAAGTCTAGCTTCTACTGTAGCCCCACCTGTCATGTTCCCTCCCTCCTTCATGTTGCCATTTTACTTTCATGATTTATATTTTGAAATTATTAACTTGTTTTTGACATAGCTTATGTGTGTGTATCTGTATGGCCTCACCTTCTTCGATACAAGGCAGCATGGGTATATACATTGTTCTCCACCTTTCTTTTTTTACTTAACATAATATTCTAGAAAAAAGTCCCCTATCACAGTGTCTATAGATGTCCATCTTGCCACTGTATAGCTGCACAGAACTAGGTCATGTGATCACATTGTAGAGTATTCAGTTATTTCCTACCATGAGCATCTCAGTTGTTTCCAGTATTTTATTCTTACAAGTGATGCTACCATGAAGAGTTTGTGCGTGTATCTTAATCATTCTTTTTGACCAGTGTTTTTGGCATAGATTTCTCAAGGTGGGACTATGGGACAAGGTTAAATGCATAATCATTATGTTAGAACTTGGGACATTTTCTTCCATAGGTAGAGTTGGAAGAAAGTGAGATTAGCTGGACATCTTCTTGAGGATGTACATTTAAGTCAAGTTTCTACTTTTCCTGGCCTTTTTTTAAAGCTTATTTATTTGTTTATTTTGAGACAGACAGAGAGAGGATGAAGGGGGTACTCAGAGAGAGAGGAAGATAAGATAATTCCAAGAAGAATTCTGACACAAAGCTCAAACCCACATTGAGATCAGGACCTGAGCCAAAACCAAGAGTCAGATGCTTAACCAATTGAGCCACCCAGGCACCACCTACCCCAAGTTTCTACTTTTAACAGTTGACATGATAATATATTTTGGTAAATCATATCATCAATCAAAATGATTTGATTCTTGTAAAAAACAAACACCAGGGGCACCTGGGTGGCTCAGTCAGTTAAGGGTCTGATTTCGGCTCAGGTCATGATCTCACGGTTCACGGGTTCGAGCCCTGTGTCGGGCTCTGTGCTGACAGCTAGCTCAGAGCCTGGAGCCTGTTTCAGACTCTGTATCTCCCTCTCTGACCCTCCCCTGTTCATTCTCTCTCTCTCTTTCTCTCTCAGAAATAAATAAAAACATTAAAAAATGAAAAAAAAACCCCAAAAAACCAATGAATCATTTCCCAGAAGTAGATGGATTTGCATTTTGACTTTTTTTGTTATTTTAAATTTGTAAATTTTGCACCCAGCTAAGTTTAGAACTAAACTAAATCCTTTCTGAATGACTCCCCTGGAATCACCAGTAAGAATTTATTGTGCAAAAAGAATGGATAAGAGAAATGTGAGGCATCCTTATCTTTGCTTTCCAGAAGCTTATAATTCTAGCAGAGGTGATAAGACTGAAAAATAACCATCACATAAGATAGTATGTAATGCAGTCAAGCACGAGCTGCAGACTTCGTGGCAGGAGGACATTTTAAGCTAGATTGGTCAGGAAAACTTGAGAGAAAAAATGGGATTTGACTGGTTGTGGGTTGGTAACAGCAACACCTTTCACATGTGAAGCTCTCTGTGCAGAGGTCGGAAGGGGCAAGAGGCATCCAGGTACATTCATGTGAAACAGTTCGTACCTGGGGACAGTCCTAAGGCCTGGTTGGCTGGCTTGGGAGGAACTGGGAGAGGCGGTCTGGCAGTCAGCAGGAAGCCACTGGGGGCTGAGAGAAGGGAGTTCCATGATCAAACTGAGTTGGGTGTTCTGAGGTCGGTACATGGAGAACTTGGAGCATGGAGAGCTGGTAGCCGGTGCCCAGACTTGTCGGGTGTAATGCATTTGGAAGGAAGGGCACATGAGCAGGCAGGCGAGACTGAGTGATGGCTGCAGGAATCTGTGTGTGCAGTGCTGAGACACGGAGAGACCATCAGATCTGCAGTGTCGTTACTTCAACAAATCCCCATGGAAAGAAAAACACTGTCAATACTGTCTTGCTTGAGTTTGGGTGTTGTGTGTGGAAGCAGTGACTGAAGAATTCAGATGGACCAGTTGTTGATGAGACGGTCTATGCACAACCATGGAGAATGCCTGGGTGCCCAAATACCCCCTACTGTTGATGGAGAAGGCTCCCACTGTGTAGGACGAGCAACCCGTCTGGAAACCTTGCTGAACTGCTTGGGCCACAATAGGAGGTGTGGGGGCTCTCACAGTTGAGGTGGATATCCGGCCAGCCAGCATCATTCCAACCTGTTCTCAGTAACGGTCCTCTTAAAATCCATGCCTCCCCGACACTCATCCCCGGGGGCCAGGAACCAAACTCCACCCCTACTCCAGGAGGCGGCGAGCAAATCCAGGAACTCAATCCACACAGGGTTTCTGGGCAAGCGAGCAGTTCAGGAATAAGCACTGAAACCCAGTTTGGGATTTTTGTTGGGCCACTGGGGAAGCAGTCCCTTGGCTCTTTCCCACTGGGTTTGTACCTGGGAGAATATAGGGATGCAACAACCACAGGCATCAAGTCATCACGTGGGTCCTGTGAACCAAGTCAAGCACACCCAGGAAGGCATATATTGCCTCTTAGTAATTTACTTTAAAAATGTTTTTGGCACGAAGAGCACATTGCACACATGTAGATTAGCTTCTGTGTACATCCCAGGGCTTACTGGCTGGCATCTGAAATGCCTCATCAGAAAGCCAGTCTTCACAGGGAGCTGCTTCAGCCCTGTATACAATTAATCAGTGAAGTGAGTAATGTGGAGGACAAGTGGGTGTCTAGCAAGACTATGCTCTTCTCTCTCTCCTTTGCATAAACAGAGTGTGGAAATCCTGCTCGGCTGTTGGCCCAGTTCTTGAAACCAGCTCTCAAGGTCTGGATTCCTCTGGCCCTGTGTACCCCTTTCCCAGAGAATGACACTGTGGGCTCCCCTCAGAGTGAATCCTTCAAGCCAACTGCTTATAGAATTGGAAGGGGGGGGGCATGGTAGAACTTGCAGGACAAGTTCTGCAGGGGAGGAAAAATCATTTTCCCTTTACCCTTCTGAGTTCTTGGCTGAGACCCTGGTAATAAAAGATTAACAAGAGGAAGATGATCAGAAATTTAACAAGTATACATAGAGCTACCCAAAGAAAAGTGAGTAACTCCCAGAGGTGGCTTAGAATTCAGGATTAGGGTTCATGAGATGGAGCCTTACATCGGGCTCTGTGCTGACATTGTGATGCCTGCTTGGGATTTTCTCTTTCTGCCCCTCCCCTGCTGTTTCTGCATCTCTCAGAATAAATTAGCTTAAAAAACAAAGAATTCAGGATTAAATAACACCTTCATCAGGAAGGGGAGAGGGGAGGGGGGAGGTGACTTAGGAGACAGTAAATGGCTTTTAGGAAAGATGAACTGGCGCTTAGAACAGATGGGAAGTATGATGTTTGGTGGCAACATTTACCTGAGTGTGGTGTTGGCTTCATCTTCTCTCCTGTGACAGGAGTCCATCCTCACTGGCTGATGAAACTCCCAGGGAGGGGATTTATGGCTGTTGAGTCCTTTTGGAGAATGAGAACAGGTCTTCAGGGAGATGAGGGCAGTTCATAGAAAGCCTTTCCCTCTGTTTGCTCCCTTTCAAGTGCTTATAGCTCAGAACCATCAACACACCCAAGTGGCATATTTTGGGGTAGCATATTCTGCTACCCTTCAGTTCCATGATTTGTGCGTGTTTGTGTGCATGTACTTGCCAGGCACATTTTCATGCACTTGGCAGGCTTGGCTCCAAGATTTGCTTTCCCAGTTACACACTCCCTGACAGTGATGGGGGTAGCAGATGGCCCCATTTACCTCTTGCAGCTGGGGGTGCAGAGATTTGCCATGACAACCCCACAGCGTGAAATGACCAAATTGCCCATGGGGCTGAACTGAGAAAATGGAGGACAACCAAGGTCTGATGACATTCACTGAGGGCCTAAATTCGACTGTGGGCCCTAGACTTTTTCCAGTTATGGAAGCAGTATATTCCCTTTTAGTGTGGGCATTTTTTTTTTTTAACATCTGTGAAAGAAAGAGTCCTGATGAGGAGTTCCTTATACCACATGCTGTACAGCTTTACCAACATGGGAAAAGAAAGTAGCACCCAGTCACAGTGGCTCCGGCAGACACAGAACCATGACACATGGGCAAACTCTATGTAAGTCATTCCACTTTATTCTGGGATGTAAATTACAGATAACACAACTCACAAACATACCAGTGGACATTGAAAACTAAGGCCATTCTGTGAGTTATTTTTAAAACTTGGTGTTTTGTACATAATCGTTTAAAAAATAAATTACCAAAACCAAGATTCTCCTCTGAAATAAAAACTTAAGGTCGGTACAAGACAACTTTTGGGCCATCTCCAATCTGAAGCTCAGGTTGTGACAAACCATTTTTGTTTCCTATAGCGTAAATAAAGGCAAAGGCCACCTCAGCATCAAGTTCTCCTCTCTGGATGTCATCAAAAGTTTACCACAGTGACCAGTGTTTACAAACCATTTTCCTCCCAGTGAGTAGCAAAAAGAGAATTTTACCTAAGAAACACATCGCAGAATTCTTGGAACGAGAAAAACAAAGGGACCCGTAACTAAGGCACTGAAAGCACATTATTTATATAAAGAAATGTAAACAGTTGAATACCAACAGGCTCCCTCCAGTAGAGTGTCGATTAGAAAAGTGCAGAGGGGCATTGTGGTCAGGCCCAGAGCTCGTGGCCCCGGTGGTGACATGGGAAGTGTACCCTTTCTGCAGAATTCGGTCCTGGCCATCAACATCTGACTCCTGACATGGTGAGGAGGAAGTAACGACTTTCAGAGTGATGTGAAGGGAAGCTGGTATTTCTCCCTAAGCTGTGTGTTAGTGTTATAACAAACAAGGAAGGTTTTAGTAGGACTTTTAAATTACGGGCGCTAGTGTGCATTTTCTTTCTGTCTCACCGTGTCCTTCTGCTGATTTGCGCAAGACTTTGGCCTGCTTCATCAGCAAGGTCTGCTAGAACTGCTAGAACATGTTACCTAACCAGTGCCGTCCCTGCCGTCTCCTTCCTATGTACAATGGTTCATGGCCCACAGAAACCACACTTCAGTTAACATGCTTCTGAACAGTCAATATGGAGCAAATTGGACAGACAGTAAACGTTTCCTGGTCCAATGGGTTGACCTTCAAGGGCCTGAGGGGTCATGAGGTGGGACGTGGTGTCTAGGCACAGCCCGACAAGCAGCTGCCAAGTCCAGGGAGCGGGGTGGGGTCACTCCTGAGGCCTATGACAACATTAAGGTTAGATTACTTTCTGCTTGACGTTTTGCTACCGATTTTACAAATCTGTGAGTTCCAAATCATCAGCCGAACAGTTCTCGAACGACTTTTTTAAAAGAAAAAGACAAATATGTAGAAACACAAATAATTACGATTTTAAAAGACCAACCCCTCCCTTCCCAACCAAAAAACAAACCAAAAAGAAGCAACTTTTTTCTGGTTGAAGTTATCATTCCTGATTCAGCAGGTACAAGGTCTATTATCCCCCAGGTTTAGCGTATATGAATTTTGGGTAGGTAAAACAGAGTTGGCATTTTATCATATGTGCCTTTTTTTATGATCAAAAAGAAGAAAACAGTTTCAAAAAAAGAAAGAAAAAAGATTTCCTCTTTTACGGGCCTCACCCCTTGCATGGAGGTTATACCTTAAACAAGGAGCCATGAGGAGCTGGAGGAGGGGTGGCCGGCAGCAGTATAAAGTGTGGGACGGGAAACACAGCTTTTCTCTATGGCCCCAGACGATGCGAATGCGATGCTAACTGTAAAACTCCTTCTGTGTTTCCAAATATAACCAGAAGGAAGTCTGAGAGAAACCTAAATTAGAAACCTCTTTCATTAAGGAAAAAAAAAAGCTAAAAAAGAAAACACCTTAAAAACCATAAGATTTAACAGCTGGGTTTAGAGCAGATGTTCATAATAATGACTGAGTAGCTCTGGGCAGGATTGAAAACAGCCTCGGGGAGCAGTTAAATACAGGCTGGTACAAGTCCGCGCAGCCTGGTCAGTTAGTTCTCTTCCAGTAAAGGGGACGCGTCAACAGCGCTGTGCGCACCAACGGTACTTTCTGAGAGGAATCTCCTCTGAAAGAAATCTCAGTAAGTTGGGCTCCCGATGTGCCTACCTTTCCAGGGAATGCACGTTTCAAGTGTCGGGTTAAAGGTCACTGTTGAGCAAAACGGAGCTGTAATTAAGGAGAAGGCATTCATGCCAAAAGAGTAATAAAGCAACAGCTTTGAGGCTGGTTCAAGGCAGGGGTGAAGTCCGGAGGCTTGCTGGCAGCTAAAGGCTTTTCACTGCCTCTTATTTCACTGCCTCTGACCAGCACCCCTGTTATATGATGAAAAGCATAGTGCTTGGCCCCAGCAGGGTGGGGAACAGGACCACGCACTTCTGCCTTGGAAGGAGACTGGTGCTCTAGGTTTTCTGGATGTTCCATGGGCTCCAAAACCAGGAATACTTAGGCAAACAACTGGTCAAAAATGGGTTTGAATTTTAGTACCAAAAGGAAGCCTGGGACTAAAAGAGTGAGCAAGCCTTGGTTATCATTAAAAAGGGGTTCATTTTCGTGCTACCATTTTGGTTTTAAGAGTTAAATTTGTCAAGGCTCCAAGGGTTGAATAATTTAGGATAAACCATTACTGCCTTGTCTGCAAGTGCTGTTGTTTTAATGGCAGATGCTATAGATACCTATGCACGTACAGGAAAGACGATAACTTTCTCTTTGGGGGCAGGTTTTAAAGAAATATTTCAGAAGACACTTCTTCAAGAGTTTCGACTCCAAGAACAGAACCCCTTGGCTACGCAGGTTCTTCAGAAAGGTAAGTGACTTGATGTATGTCGTTTTTGACGCAGAAAGAGCTACGCCTGCCAATGAGCTGTGGTGAACCCAGCACTGAGCATGCAACCGTACATGGAAGTGAAGGACTGTATTAATTCCTAGCTTTAAAAATGCAAACTAAGGTTTCTAAGTGGAGAGTCTGTGGTTGCTCCCTGAGACACGTCCAGGTCTTCATGTGAAAAGAGGGCACAGGTGGTCTGATGTCTAGGTCAGTGCACGGCTAAATGCCAAGATTTTATGAGTAATGAAGGGCTTCCTATCGAAATGGTTGGTTGGATTAAGGGCAAAGACTTCTGATCTCTGGTCTTAAGGAAGGGTGCAATGGTCTGATTGGCTTGGAAATGAACGTGGGGACAGTGCCGAGGGAGGGAGCTGGGAGGAAGGGCCCTCACCGCAACAGTCAAGTGCTAGCACGTGATCTGAGCTAGTGCTCCCAAGCCCCAGATCTGCCTCTTGTCTGGGGAGTTGGTTAGGGAATAGGATTGAGCCTTTCCGAAAATCGTGTGTGTGTGTACCTTGCTTGTTAACAGCCTGGCGATTGCTTAATAAAACTCTGGTCCGAGTTACTTCACAGCGATCGCTCCCTGCTATGTGTATTGAAATTACATTCAGAGATTAAAAAAAAAATCGTGTGTAACAATATTTTCCCACAAAACTAAGTGTAAAATATCTTTAACAAATAATGGTGGTAGTAGAAATATTTGACAGTCATGCAAAAATGCACCTCCATTTACAAAGGCTTGACACCTCTCCAAAGTACCCTTGGGTTGTTACCCTAGGAGCTCACTCATTTTTTTTTACGTTTGAATGTGGTTGCTTGTGTAAAAAACGGTAACATGCAAGTTCAATGATCTCCAGTCCACCAAATATTCTCTCTTGTAGCACAAAGACAACAATGGTGATGATAAAATACCACCGAACAAGACTGTACAAATATATGAGTAGGCACATTGCAGGGCTGAACAGGGTCCAGTAAAGTACAGACAGCAGTTTGACCACAGAGACCCTCAGCTCAGACTTGCAAGGTGGAATTACAGTCTGACCGGTGAAGTGAAAGTTCTTCTCCCCTTGGTAGAAGGAGCGCAGCCTCTCTTCTTTCTCCTCCCACCGCCTGTGGCACCAGAGCTGGAGGCCCTCCCTGGAGGTGGGGAGGGCGTCCACGGGGTAGCGGTGCACGTGGAAGTGGATCTCCTTGGGAAATTCGCCGTAGAGAAGGTGCCTTTCTGTCTGAGGAATGTTGTGAGGGTACGCCACCGTGATGTCGTGGACAGCATCCAGGTTCTTCCCTAGGTTTAGAAAAAGATGGGAGACAGACTGAGTAATGACCAGTGAGGGCAGTAATGCTGGTTCAAACTATAAGGCAGAACCAGAAACGGGAAAAATCGGGACAGAGTGAGCCACGGTAACAAAAAAGGGCGATGTACATACGTGCAGCCCTAGCCATGAGGGTCAACATATGTACCAGTCATTTTTAGCTTTTATCTTGCTTGCTAATTACCACACAAACCTTTAAAAAGAAATTATTTTCACGGAAACCGTAACCTGCCATTCTAGAACTAAACGGATAAGCCCATTAAGTCAGGTTTGAGACTAAAAGAGCACAGGACTAGCCCTTTTATACCAGTGGGAGTCACTGCCTTACCTCTTCTTAACATACTTTCTCTCCAAATAAAAACAAAATTTCTCACCTTTAGCTCATTATTACTATGATAGCTACTGGAAGGAAACACTCAGAATTAGACTTAGTGGTCAGAAACACATGAAAACTTCCATATGAGTTTTTTCATTAAAAATGTTTTAACATTCTTTGGGTGTGGTTTTTCTGTTTTTTAAAACCCGTATCAGCTTGAGGTCGGAGAAAGACCCTACCAGGCAGGATATCATCATCCTTAGCAGTCTCCTGATTAATTACTTTGGGGTTAAGCGCTTTCAGCAGTTACATGCCAGATGCTGGAGAGAGATGAATAAAACAATCTCTAATCTCACTCAGGAGTTCATAGGGAATCCGGGGATCAGCTGCATACACAGTATCCTACGAGGGGACGTACAGGAGGGGAGCGAGCTGGCTAGGCAGGTGCCGCGGGCCCAGAGAACACAGTGGGGCTGAGGGGCTCAGAAGTACACTGGAGGCATCCGGTAAAGGCCTTCACTGTCAAAGTTGAGAATCTGAACTCCATTCTTTAAGTGACCGAGAAGCACCTGAGATGCTGGAGAAGCACTTAATGGTTATAAACAGAAGGGATGAGAATGTATTTCATTTTGGCAAGGATTACCTTGGGGGCACTGACCAGAATGGTCTGGAGAGGGCCATGGGCAAGAGAGGTAGTAAGAGTAATCTGATGGTCATGACGAGGCAAGAAAGGACAGCGAGGTAGGGGCCAAAGGAAGTGACCTGTCTAAAAACATGAGAAGAGAACTAACACGATAAGAGTGGTCAAATGGATGTCGGAGGATAAGGTGGCATGAGCTCCTGTGTTCTGGCTCAGGGTACTGAGTGGATGGTGGGGTCTTTGAGATTAGAAATGGAAGCAGGAGTATTAGATCCTTAGACACAAGGATTGCCTAGTTGAATCCTGTATACAGGCCCAGAGAGGTTAAAGTTTTTGCCCCCGCCCCCCAACACACAGCATGTTGGTATACAGTCTCTGAATGTCGCTTTCTTCTATATCATACTTTCCTCAGTGAGAGCCCTCTGATCTGGGCTTTGATTCATTACAGAAATATATGATGCAGAAAACTTTAATCTGTGGGGACAGAAATCCAAACATTGGCTGCCATGGGGCAGGGGTGTGAGAACTGATTGGGAAGGAGCACAAGGAAGTGTTCTAGGTGGTCGAAACATCTAGATCTTGATTAGAATGTGGAGTACATCAAGCTGTGCATTTAAGACCCATGCACTTCACTCCATGTAAGTTTTGCCTCAATATTAACAAGACACAGGGCAACTTGCCCACCTTAACTCCCCATGTTTACCCTTCCCATTGACCTTCCTATTACAGGTTGTTCTCCTTGCTTTTTAATGATTCTTTAAGTCTTCTGTAAATGTCTACTGTCTCCTTTATGATGTGATTTACCCCAGGGTAAGGACCAGGTTTCAGTTTGGTTTCATAACTGCCTGATAGATGGAATCAGCCCTTAATAAGGACTGTGGTCTAAAAAATGGAAATACCTGTGTCAACAAGGCTTAGATTCAAAACTGGAGGACCGTGTTTTACGGATGCTGAGCACGGTCTACAGGAGAGTGGAAGTGGATGGAAGGCCTCTGCAGAACGGCTTTGGTGGAGTTGGATCGGAATGCCTACAAAAAAGGCGAGGCTGCCCTTTCTGACTCCAGTGGGGAGACCACTTCATCTCATGGTAGGGGAAATAGGAAGACACGTTTTGTCACTTGTCAGGCCGCTTAGCCTCCTATTCAGTAAAAGGCGAAAGATTTATACGATCTGAAGAGAAACCAGAGTATATTAGCCTCCTATTCAGAACTGAGTGTATGTTTACTTTCAACTCCAACCCCCCCCCCCCCCCCCCCCCCCCGGCAATCAGTCAATACTTCTGCTTCACCTGCCCAGACCCTGCTCTAATGGGCTGCTGGTCTCCTCAGCCTCACTTGTCCATGGCCTCTGCATCGCCCCTCCCCCTGCAGCTGCCATCATCCTTGGTCACACCCCACTGCTTCATGGAGGAGCAGTGGCTCCTACGAGCCAGCCAGCCTTCCACAGGTCGCTTTTAATGCTCACAAACTGGTATCAAAAGGACAGGCTATACTAGGAAGGAACTAAAGTGCGCTTGCTTTCTATTTCTTCTGGACAGAGAATGGGCATGTGTGCAAACACCTGTCCAGTATACAAACGGCAAGTTTTAAGACCGTGTAGGTACCACATACAGAAATGTTCCTAAGTGAAAAATCCTAGAAATGCTGCTGTGTAGAGCATGCAGGGCTGTGGAAGGAGACTGAGATCAAATCCTAGCTCTGCCTCTTACCTACCTCTTACCGACTGACTGAATGACTTGTCTCTGTAACTTGCTCAGTTCCTGTATCTACAAACTATCTCACAGGGTTGATGAAAGCATCAAATGAGCTAATACATATAAAAATCCACAAAATAGGGTCTGATATATAGTAAGTACTCAGTAAATGTTAGCTGCTAACATTGAGTGACCGAGACAACTGGGGAAGGGAGAAGAGCCGGCTTATCCCTTGTTTCTCCTTTCCCTTGAGCTTCACTGGATCCTTCAGCATTACAGAGACTCAAAAATGCATTAAAGCCAGAATGAGAGAGGAGATGGAGAAAGACTTTTACACCATGAGTTATCTTGATACTTGGTAAATTTTATATTAAGTTTCTTGTCTCCAGATATTCCAGAGCCACACATAACTCTTTATGGCCAAAAGAGGAGCCATTCCTACCGGACCCGTTAGTTTCCTCCCAGAAGGTAACAGGTGAGGGTTAAGCAGACTCATGGGGCAGGCTTCATTCCCAAGTGACAATAATGAAATGCAGAGTCAAAAGCTGAAATGTGCCTTCATTCCATTTATCAGCTTGTAATAGAGCTAAAATAATGCAATAATTAAGTTCCTTCAAGTGCAAAGGATTTATACGGTCTTTCAATCTTTTGGTATGAAAACAAAATACTTTAAAATATGTAAATTAAGATGGCTGCTATCAGTAAAATCCATTTTTAAAAGATCTCCTTTTTAGATTGCATCTAGATGTATAATTTCAACTATCTAGCCACCTGCCATCTGCCTATATGGTGCTTAGAAAATGATCTGTTCTGTTCCTGATGCTATGTCTTCTGGGAAGTTTCAAACTTTATTATTATATTCAGCTACTACTCTGTTAGAACAACCACACTCATGTGGGCCCATAAATGTTCCTTTTCCTTTCCTGGAAGAACAAGACATTTATTACTTCAAATCTTCATTTTTAGTCTAAGGCTGAGACTGAGGAATATTTCATACTTCATTCAGGTTACTTTAACCTGAGGTTTAAACCAATAGAGGTTTAAAAAATATGACTGGAATTTACAAATGTAATATGCAGAAGGGAGCATCTCAAAGCATGTCAAGTTGAGCCCATGATTACAGGAGTCCTTGTATGAAAGGACTCACTGGAAGTGAGAAAGAACCAATTCTTTACACACTCATGTTTCAAATGAAAGAACTGAGTGAAGAAATCCTTGTCTGCCCATAGCTCCTAGAGAACACATCCAATTATATAGGTCAGTAGCACAAAAACAGAAATACAACCTTTTTCTTTTTAACCCAAAGTGGTCTTAAATTTCAGTTACTGACTTTATTGTTTCCCCATTCTACAATAAAATATATGGAGAATATACAAAAACATAATTTATTTTGGATTTTACTTTAATAGTTAAAAAAATTAAAAATACACATAAGCTGGGGTGCCTGGGTGGCTCAGTCAGTTAAGTGCCCAACTTTAGCTTGGGTCATAAGCTAAGATTCGTAAATTTGAGTCCCACATCAGGCTTTGCTGACAGCTCAGAGCCTGGAGCCTGCTTCAGATTCTGTGTTTCCCTCTCTCTCTCTCTGCCCCTCCCTCCCTCATGGTCTGTCTCTCAAAAAAGAATAAAGGTTAAAAAAAATTTTTTTAAATGCAAATAAGCCTATTTTCTATTATTCAGATCTAAATCCGTAAATCTAACTACATTTATTGAAGACTTTTAAATAAAGTAGCTTGTCATCTAAGATGCATTTGTGTTCAAAGAAAATGCTGAAGCCCCTGGTTTTGTGCACGATTTCTCAGATTAAAAAAAAATTACCCCAAGATGATAAAATCTGGACTTAGTAACTCAACAGTCATTCACTGTGGCACTTTCACACTGACATGTAATAATAGTACATGGCTAATAATCATGACAAATTGGCACTAGTCAGTAAACTTTGAAGAATGGTTTTGAATAGACAGATTTAGATATATTTTGACTAAAAGTACCAATAAATAAGACAATTTTCAGCTTCAAAATAAAAGGGCATGTACGAACCCACTTAAAATCCACTGGCATTGGAACTCTGTCCCATTTTCTTAGAAAGAATACTACTTCCTACTGAGATTATTCATTTGTCCTTTTGTAGAAGTTGAGTAGTTCAGGAAGGAAAAGTAGAGGCAGACAGCTTCTGATCCTACCTCTTACCAGCTCTCTGGCCTTAGCGTGTTTACCATAAGCTTCACCTGTGTGTGCAGATAATAACAGTTCTTACCCTCCTAGAATTTTGCAAGGATCAACTAGGATAAGAACTGTAAAGTGCTCAGAGAAGGGCCTAGCA